AGCCTGAAGTAACTCTGGATTGTTAGAGTCAGAACTTAATTGAATTCTGGACCCCTCAGAGAAGTGGTTTTGGAAAAGACACTGTATTTGGTGATAGGAGGGAAAAACACCTCTCATCTGGTGTCAAAAGTGTTATGAATAAAAATTACTCAGGAAATAAATAGGTATGAGCAGATAATGTTTAGGAGAAACTTAACAGATAAATTAAGGTTTCTTTTTCAAGTTTCTTCTCTGTATTTTCTTTTTTTTTTAATGTTTTTATTTATTTATTTTTGAGAGACAGAGAGCACGCACAGAAGCAGGGCAGGGCACAGAGAAAGAGGGAGACACAGAGCCTGAAGCAGGGTCCTCACAGTCAACACAGAGCCTGATACAGGGCTGGAACCCAGGAACCGTGAGATCATGATCCGAGCCGAAGTCGGATGCATTAACAGACTGATCCTCCCAGGTGCCCCCGCCTTCTCTGTATTTTCAAAACATATTCTGTGTATCTGGATATCATTAACTCTGATGTAGTCAATGATTATCCTATTTCCCCTGTTAGACTATGAGCTCTTTATACTACACAGAAGACTAATGTGATCTTCTTTCTCCCTATAACCAACCATAGTGACTGACACTTAATAAAAGGTCAGAAAATACGAACGAAATTGAACAGAACTGAATGAACCAGATCTTCTGACACCAAGTCCAATACAGCATAGTTGGCTTTCTTTGGTGACTGGCCAGAGATGGAGCTAAAATGTCAACATCACTCCTACCTAATTCAGGACCTTTTATTTAAACAGCAGGGACTCAGTTTCCCTATTGCTACAGGTGTGTGGTTTGGCTGGCAATCTGATGTTTACCGGCAGATAAGGATAATGGTTACAATAAGTTCCCGTCTGTCTGGAGCCTTGCAGTGGAGCCTCCGTAGTGACTTGGCTACAAAAGACACTCAAGCTGTGTAAGTGATCGGATGTTATGAGAAGCTGTTCTTTAGCAGCAGAGACACTGGAAAATTATTTCCAAGAAAGGGTCACTTTTAAAAGCACAATGTTAAAGCATCTTAATGACATAGCAGTTTCTTTTGTGTGTCTACAAAGACATCAGGACTTTTCGTAATGCTAGTGCAAGGGATTACACCTTTTAATCACCATTTGGAGTCAAGAAGAATAGAGGAGTAGTGGCTGTGCATGAATGACAGGAATGAAAAGATTGATAAATACTAACATGTTTTTAAAAACTTTCTTTTTGCATGTCAAATATCTATGGTCAAAACACAAAGGATAAGCTGGAAAAATATTTACAAGGATTATCATAGACCTAGTATATACAAAGCTCCTATAACTTGGCAGTAAAATGACTAACAAATAATAGAATACAGTAGGAAAATAATTTTAAAATGAGAAAAGATATGAGCAGGTAATTCATCACATGGCTCTTTACTGTGTGAGCAAGGACTCAAACTCATTGAAAATAAGAGGCATGAAAATTAAAACTAACGGAGGTGTGAAGGATGAGTGGGCAGCCAAGTAAAAGGTAGAAAGGCAATAACCAAAGATACAAAAAACTAATATTAATCATTACATATTGAGTGCTTGTTAGGTTCTGTTCTAAATGCTGTGCATGCTTTCCAGGTACTAGTTCATTTAATCACCATAATTAACCCTATGAAATAGGAAGTATTGGTGTCTCTACTATAGTGAGGAGATTAACTTACTGGAAGTGACAAAGTAAGTGATTAGAGTGTTGGCTTCAAGTCTGGAAATTGAAACAACTCTGTCAAGGAGGGGAACTCTATAGGACAATGGCCAAAAAAGAGAATATTCAGATGATGACCAATTAGACTTTGTGGAGACACAGAGTTGCCAGGGTCCCAAAAGTTCAATTAGACCAACTTCTACAGAAACACAGATTTCTTTGCGACCTGTCCAGCATATGACCACCCCACTTTCCCCCAGTTCCAATGACAAGAAAACTCACCACTTTTCAAAGCAGCTCATTGCACCACTGAACTTTTTAAGAAAAATTCTTCTTTGTATGACGCTAAAATCTGCTTCTCCTTGAGTGTGGGCAGTTTTTTCTGAGCAATCAAAAGAAAGTGAATCTTCTCCCTCATATGTATCATGACCCTTCAGAAAACCCCAATCCTTCAACCTTGGCTAAAATGACATGGTCTCCAAGTCCATAGCTTATCTGGCTACCTCTTCTGGAGGTAGAAACTCTATCTCTGTTATCCTATTAAAATGTAAATCCAGAAATGATTGCATCAGGTTAGGACTGAGGACTGAAATACATTTGTTTCTCTTGATATACCTGCATAGCACATTCATTGTATACCAACACAATCTAGTATCACATTAGCCTTTTTAGTAACTGAGTCACATATTTACTAGTAAAGAACCACACACAGTCTTCTTACTATGACTGATAAATTTTTAGTATCTACATTTATTTATATTATCCTGAAGGCAAACATGAGTTTCTGGAGCAGAGACTGAAGTCATCCATAACTATGGGTTCCCTTGCCCAATCCCCCAAAGTGATATGATGAAAGCCACATGTCACTCAATACGTGCTGGGTTCCGTACTGGAGGAGAGTAAGCCCCTCTAAATTGAGAATCTGAGAGTTTATATATGAAGGGGACATCTCTCACCCTTCCCCTCCTGAGAAAGGGAGAAAACCCTTTGCTGCTTATGGTATACTCATTTTCCTTGGGAAGAGAAGGGAAAGGTCCTGGGTATTTACCTGCTGGAATTATAAATATGTTTGATGTCAATGTGGAGGTTTGAACTCCCCTATGACCAAGCAATAGCACTGCTAGGAATTTACCCAAGGGATACAGAAATGCTGATGCATAGGAGCACATGTACCCCAATGTTCATAGCAGCACTCTCCACAATAGCTAAAACATGGAAAGAGGCTAAGTGTCCATCAACGGACGAATGGATCAAGAAGATGTGGTTTATCTATACCATGGAATACTCCATGGCAATGAGAAACAATGAAATCTGACCATGTGTAGCAACATGGATGGACCTTGAGGGTGTCATGCTGAGTGAAATAAGTCACGCAGAGAAGGACAAATATCATATGTTTGCATGTATAGGAGGATTGGGAGGAACTTAACTGAGGAACAAGGGGGAGAAGAAGGGGGGAAATGGTGGGGGAAAGGAAGAGAGGCAAACCATGAGAGACTCTTGAATGCTGACAAAAACTGAGGACTGATGGATGTGGGGGGGAGGGGGGATGAGCATGGAGGAGGGCACTTGTGGGGATGAGCACTGGGTGTTATGTGGAAACCAATTTGACAATAAACTATTTGTAAAAAAAGAAAAATGAGGTGAGGCTTTTGGGAGGTGACGAAGTCATGAAGGCTCTGCCCCCATGGGCAATAAAATTGGTGCTCTTACAAATGACACTCCAGAGAGTTCCCTTGTTCCCTTCCACTTTGTGAGGACACAGCAAGAATATGGGCATCTTTGAACCAAGAGGCCTTCACCAGATGCAGCATCCACCAGAACCTTAATCTTGAACTTCCCAATCTTCATGACCATGAGACTCTGCTGTTTATAAGCTCTCTGGTCTATAGGGTTTGTCATAGCAGCCCAAAGGGACTAAGGCACATGAGATGAATGTTAATAAGCTATGTGTCGACCACACAAGTTACATAAACCGTCTTCAAACAGAAACAAACATAAGGTGAGGTTATATATATAGAGAGAGATAGATCAGTTGATGAAAATGCAGCCAGAGGCTCACAGGAACCTACCTATATCTTTCCCATGAGCAATGTTTAATGTTTACAAATTCATTGCTCGTGACAACTTTATATAGAGCCTAACTATATGAAAAAAATAAATAAATAATAAATACATAAATATGTTTGATGCCTCAACAACAGGGGGATTGGGGCATGGACCCCCTGCACAGTTGAAAATCCACATACAACTTTTGAATTCCTTAATACTTACTAATAGCCTACTATTGACTAGAAGCCTTACTGATAATATTAAATCGATTAACACATATTTTGTATATGTATTATATACTGTATTCTTACAACAAAATAAGCTAGAGAAGAGAAAATGTTATTAAGAAAATCATAAGAGAAAAACACACAGTACTGTATTTTATTTATCAAAAAAAATATCTGCATGTAGGGGCGCCTGGGTAGCTTAGTTGGTTAAGCGTTCCTCTTCGGCTCAGGTCATGATCTCACGGTTCGTGAGTTTGAGGCCTGCATTGGACTCTGTGCTGACAGCTCAGAGCCTGGAGCCTCCTTCGGATTCTATGTCTCCCTCTCCCTCTGCCCCTCCCATGCTTGTTCTCTCTCTCTCTGTCTCTCTTTCAAAAATAAATAAACAGGGGCACCTGGGTGGCTTAGTCGGTTAAGCGTCCGACTTTCGCTTAGGTCATGATCTCGCGGTTCGTGGGTTCGGGCCCCGCGTTGGGCTCTGTGCTGACTGCCGGCTCAGAGCCTGGAGCCTGTTTCAGTCTGTGACTCCTTCTCTCTCTGACCCTCCCCTGCTCACGCTGTCTCTCTCTCTCTCTCCTAGAAATAAATAAAAAACATTAAAAAAAAACCAAACAAACAAAAAACAAAAACAAAAATAAATAAACATTAAAAAAATCTACATGTAACTGGACCAGAGCAGTTTAAACGCATATTGTTCAAGAGTCAACTGTAAATGATTCCAGGAGAAAGACAAGAGAAGCCTCTCCTGGTCTGTAACTTGTGTGATGTCCCCCTGGTTTGGGTTTTGCTCCCCCACCCCCACCTCTGAAAGGTAAATACATATGTCTTAGGAGGTAAATCTCTCAGTGCTCTCATTGTATGCTGTCACAGCCATATTTTAACTTCTAAGGCTTGTTCTTTAACCCAGGTTCTGGCAAAACTTGCTCAGAAAGTCCTAACTATGCAGAAACATGAAAATACTTACTTGCTGACTTGGGCTGTATTTGCATCATTTTCCTAGGCCCAGACTGGCTCTCTCATTCTCTTTCTCTTATTTATCACAGGTCCCCGGGACTCAGTCTCAGTCAACATGTATCAGGCTGTGAGTATCAGAATGCCTGATTAATAATTGGTTAAGTCATCGAAGTGTTTGTGTTCTCACTTGACAAAAAACCTGACAACAGGCCCTAGTTTGGTTTGCACTTCAGTGGTGCCATCAAGACGTGATCACTTCTCTTCTTCCACTCTTTCTTCTCAATGGATGGCTTTCATCTTCAGCCCTTTTGCCCCATTGCCTCATTGGATGGCTTGTTAGAGTCTCCATGCAAAACACCCAATACAAGAAGTGAGGGCAGAGAACAGGGATTGCATGATAAGAAAAAAAAAAAAAAAAGATTTTGCCTCAAAGGCCTCTTTCTCATGTGAGAGAAAAATGTCTCCCAGAATCCCCTAGTAGGGTCCTATGCTCACCCTGAGAGTGGTCCCTGGCAAAGAAGGCCTGAGTCTGCTGTGATTTATTCCTAGACCAAATTAGGGTTTTATTAACATGGAATAGAGTGTAAAAAGTGATCCAAGAATTTTGGGAGTGCTTGTCTCTTCATCTCAAATCAAGAGAAAGAGGATTGGGATCACTTAATAATGTCCCTTGAGCAAAGGAGAGAATCCTGAGGTGAAGACACCCTCTCGGAGTTTGTTGTTTCTTTTCCACAACCAGGTATGAGCTTCACATGAACAAAGATCTTGGTTCCTGTACCAGGTCCTGTGAATTGCATCCCTTGGTATCTATTCTAGGCTCCTGGTGTGTCTTCCTGTATGAGAGGCTAGAGAGCTGAGTGAACGCTGTGTTTCATGGATTCCCTTGAGCGGTATTCCCACTGTCATCTGCACTCATATGGACTCACATGAGGAACTGCATGAAGGCGGGTGAGCAGCAGAATGTGAGGTACCTGTTTGGCTCAGATGGGTGGTGGCAGAGGTAGTTTCAGGAGCATCCTGCAGCCTTGGTGAGAGCTTTCCTGACCATAAAGGAGATGTGATCCTGGCAGTAGGAGCTGTTTCTAGAAGCTTTGCCTAGAGCATGTTCTTCTAGCCCTTTCAATTTTACAACCTAGTTGTAAGACCCCTTCTGTTTAAATGATCTGGAAGGATTTCTGTGGTCTGCAACTAAAACCTCACAGGAAACGGTCCTGTCTAGGAAGGTCTATAGGAAGAGAGGCTGGAGATAGTGCCAGTTCCATTGTGGAGGAGGAGTGAGAGACCTCTAGGAATAGGGATGCCTTGAATCTTCACAACTGAGCTGAAGGTGAGAGAACCCTAGGGAAAAAGGGAGGAGGGTTTCCAAAGCACCCACAACAAAAAAGAAAGGAGTTTAAATACTGGCTAGAGAACAGACATTGGTTCACAGCAACACTGGTCAAGTAGGAACTTTGCTGTCCCCTTCCCTCTCCTCCCCTCCCCTCCTTTTTTTAGCAATGTGGGTAGAGGAGGAATTGACATGGGGGCGGGAAAGAGGAAAGCAAGTGACCACATCCCTTTATCTTCTCTCTGCAGCAAGCCCAAGCTAGGAAAGGGCGAAAACACTGACGATTAAGCCATGCTTAAAGTTTTGTTTATGACAGGAAACTAGATATTTTAATTACTGACCATCGACTTATTCTACTTAAGAGACAGCGACAACGTCATGGGTTATACTGGAGTTATTTCTAGGGGCAAGAGGAAGAACTGCAAGTGATGAAATAAAACTTAGGTTTTCAGCCATTCTGAGCAAACCATATGTATTTCAAACATTAATATACTTTGACTTCTTTTCTTTTTTCCCTCTCAAGGTTGGGGAAAGCTATCTGAAGAGGAAGATTCTGATACACAGACCTGTGTCATCTCACTCTTCCTAACTCATCAAAATTGGATGTTAACAAACAGAAGTTTCAGAAATATTCTCTACAGAGATGAAAAGCCTCTGAGAGATGGTACAAATATGTAAAAATGTTCAAGAAGAGTTGGAGAAATCAATGAATGCCAATATGTAATGGGATACTATGAGAAGCTGGTGATATTTCAAGGAATACCCTCAATTTTCCAGTTGATGGAATGCAAAGTCAGAATCAGTCATGCTCTGTAATCTAGTGCTCAGCATTCGAGATTTCACTGGAAAGACCAAATCCTGGGCTGGATCCTCGGTGGGTCTGATCCAATACAGCAATTACTTCTCCCGTGTAAAGCTCCCATAGCACCCTATGCTTCTTTCCATAGCATTTAATATTCTGCATTGTAATTGATTTTCACATTTATTTAGGAGGATTGTGAATTTAACTCATACCACATCTCCAAAATACAGAGAAGCTGTAGTCCTTTTGTTAATTAATCCAGTCTTTTTCCTCCATTCCTCCCTGCTGGTAAAAACAATGACCATTTAGCCTTTCCTGATTTCAACTTAATCTGATCCAATAATTTAAACACTCCCTTTAAAAAGTGATGTTAGTCTGTCTTGGAAAATAAAAGCTTACTCTGTCTTTCAGCTCCAAGATTTTAACTGGGCGTATGCATGTGGGGAGGTGTGGGGTTGCCTGACCTTGGGGCTGAGGGGAACACTGTGGTCTTTGGGAACCTCTTCTACTCTTAACCATTTAGTTGCTCTTGACATTGCTGCCATTGCTCTAAAGCCTGTGGCTGCTGTGAGGCATGGATATCTCTTTGTCTCTCTGTTTCTGCCTCTCGTTCTGATAGCTCTTTCTGACTCACTCTGCCTTCCCTGGCCTCCTCCCACTATTACACCTTCTGACTGTCTATGACTCCCATTTTATCCCATCCCATCTTGCAGTCCCTTACCTACCTCACTGGCACTTTGGATCCTCAGCCAGATTCTCAGATACTCTCTGTCACGAGGGCCTCATGTGGAAAGCATAGGTGACTCTGAAGTTAAATTTCACGACTTTTCTCTGCCTGGCCATGCTGGCCCTTCTTGGGTTGAAATGAGGCAGCCTGCAATGAGGCTTCTTATCAGAGTCTCAGATGGGGAAAGGGAGAGAAGGACCTCCTTTTGCCCTTAGTGTCTTCCCCAGTCCCATTCTAGGTACTCAACACAGGTGTCTGACTGTGCTGGGCTTGCCTTGCTCTCTTTTCCCACAATTCTGGGGCTGGCTGAAGAGGAATGACTTCCCTCTCCGCTTCTTTAGGAACACACCTTTCTTCTATCACAGAGTAGTTAGAGCCCCCTCAACAAGGTGTCTTCTCTACTCATGGAAAGAATGGTCTGAGGGGCGCCTGGGTGGCTTAGTTGGTTAAGCGACCAACTTTCGCTTAGGTCATGATCTCGCGGTTCGTGGGTTCGAGCCCCGTGTCGGGCTCTGTGCTGACTGCCAGCTCAGAGCCTGGAGCCTGTTTCAGAGTCTGCGTCTCCCTCTCTATCTGACCCTCCCCTGCTCACGCTGTCTCTCTCTCTCTCTCTCTCTCTCCTAGAAATAAATAAAAATATTTAAAAAAAAAAGAATGGTCTGAGCCAAGTCGACCAGGCCTGGTCTCTAGTGGTTAGGAGAGGAATGTTAATAAAAGAATTTAGGAAATCCTCTCCCTATTCAACAACCTGTTTTATTTTTTCTTTTGTCTTTTTTTAAAAATGTTTATTTATTTTGAGGGAGACAAAGAGCACAAGCAGGGAAGGGGCAGAGAGAAATAATCCCAAGCAGGCTCCACGCTGCTGTCGACTCAGAGCCCGTCTCAGGGCTTGATCTCAGGACTATGAGATCATGACCTGAACTGAAATCAAGAGTCAGATGCTTAACCCAAGTGCCCCCAAAACAGGTGTTTTTGTTTGGCTGCACAATCTTATTTGAAGGTCAGAAGCTGATCTTTCTCTCTGCATTATATGTAAATTGCTTAGAATAGTGCCTGGCACCCAGTAAGCAATCAATGTTCTCATTCTGTAACAAATCTCTTAATCTCCTCCTGAGATTGGTTGGTGTCTTTGTAAACTGGAAGAAATATGTGCTAGGAAAAACAAAAGAGAAAAATCATGCCGATAATTTCTGATATTAACCTTATTAACATCTACATTTTGCCATATTTCAAAGTTATCAACTAGTATGTGCTTGTAGAGAAATTCAAACAATATAGGAAATTATAAAGTGCAAGTCCCCAAGAAACTTCTAGTATTTTCCCTGACCTGGCCACTGTTTTATTCTTTTCAAGTAAAGATAATGTCAGATTTTCTACCCTTTCAGCTCCAAGATGTTAACTGGGTATATGCATGTGAGGAGGTGTGGGGTTTCCTGACCTTGTGGCTGATCCAAACAAGCAGTTTGGTTGAATGTTTTTACTTGTCTATCTCTCCCAATACACGATGAGCCTTTTGAGCTCTTCTCTGTAGCACCACAGGTCACCAATAAATGCTGGATGAATGAATAAATAATTGAATAATGAATTATGAAATAACATAGATTATAAAATACTTTAAGAAAAACTTTACTGTTATATAAACTTGTTAAGATGCTTAGTCATTTTTTGAGCTTTTCTTGATAGGATTACCTCTGATTAAAATAGAACAGATTAAATTTTAAGATTAATTTATTTACAGTGTTCTTTTAAATGCTTCCAATATTATACTAAATAATGAAGATTGGATGATGACAAGGCATTTCATCAAGGCTTTTGGGCTTTTATATGAATATCTGATACCATACCAGTAATGCCCAAAGCTTTCATGCTTATTTTATTTTTGATGTGTTACAGCATATAGTCAATATAGCCTCTGCTATCTTAATGTGCTAAGGTAAAATGGAATGTGCTGGTGATTGATCAATGGGTTTCATCAATGTTTTAAAAGGCAGTAATATGATTCTTTTTAAAATTAAAAAATGAAATAATTTTGGCAGTTTGATTACAGCAGGGAAAAGACATACCAATCTAGTGAATAGATTATTGGTGCATGAATAAGAAACACGACTCACTTTATAACTCTCTTTCCAGGACTGGTAATGGGGTTCCACCCCAGGTCACTTTGGAGGATTCCAAACCAATTTCTTGAAAGACCGGTTGAGGATAGAAGCCTGTCTTCCCTGCTGTGTCCCAAGTGGACACATAGCAGACATCTCTGTCTTTGCCTGGTCACAGAGGCACATGTGATAATAGACAGACCTGGGTTTGAATTGTGGCTCCATCATTTCTTAGCAGCATGGCCTTGGAAAACTGACCTCACTAAGTGGGCTTGTTGTGAGAATTAAACTGAATAACACATTCTTACCATAGTGCTTCACACATAGTGCTCAAGGTTAATTACAAACTACTAGTCATCTAGAAACTAGGGTTCTCTTTCTAACCAAGATATGTTTGGGTTACTACTAGAGGGAGTAAGCCTCTACTTCCTGCATGCACAGGTGACTTAGTTTTCTGAACCAGTACCTGTCTCCTTCCCATTACTAGCTCAGAGTAGGAAAGCTATGATGCTGGCAGTTATGTGCTAGCAGTGGTGGAAGCCATGGATTACTGCTGTGATGATGTGATCTTGAAGCTGAAAGTCAGTGGTGGCCTTCTCACTTAGTCAGGTACCCTGACCCTTCCATTGATTTTTTTAAGCACATAATCTCATGAATTAAATTCCCTTCTTTTTGAAATACCTAGAACTCTGATGGGCACACAAACTCAAGATCATTTTATTTATTCATTTATTCAAACGTCTTTTAAGTTTATTTATTTTCAGAGAGAGTGCACAGCGGGGGAGGGATAGAGAGAGAGGGAGAGAGAATCCCCAGCAGACTCCACACCATCAGCACAGAGTTGGACGTGGGACTCAAACCCACAAACTGTGAGATCATGACTTGAACTGAGATCAAGAGTCAGATGCTTATCTCACTGAGCCACCGAGGCACCTCTCAAGATAATTTTAGTAAAGTCCTAGCTTTGATTCTGGGTGTCTGTCTGGGCAATTATCCTTCCTTTCTTCATAATCAAGCTTCTGGAAAGAGTAGCCCTGATATATTGTAAACCTGTCCTTTATCTCGTTATTGTACTCAATTCTACCAAAGTCAGGCTTCCTCTCTGCTACTAAAGCACTGAAATGCTTTGACCAAGGTCAGCAATGACTGACCAAATACCAAATTCAGTAGATTTTTTCAGTCTTTGACCTACTAACCATCATTGGAAACTATTTCATTGGACATTGTATTGATCACACCTTTCTTTCTAGAACCTGCTCCTCTCTTGATCCTTGTGACACAACATCTTTTGATTCTTCTCCCATGTCTTTGGTCAACCTCTATTGTGAGCTTTTTCTTCTTTTATTCTATTAAATGTTGGTGCCCCCTAAGGTTCAAGCCTCAGAGCTCATCCCTTCTCGCTCAGTATACTGGGCTTCTGTGAATTCAGCTACTATCCCCGTGGTAATGACTCCTGAATCTCCACCCCTCCTCTGTGTAAAATCCCTGCATATTCAGGGCACTGTAGACAACCCCTTCTCTCTCTGCTTCGAGACACATTGAATTCTGAAAACACCTTACCTGGTTCTTTGTTTTCCCGTGCCTTTATATAACAATGATCAGATGGCTTCCCCTCGTTACATCTCTCTCCCACTGAATTTTCCTGAAATATAAAAACATTTGCCTTTTAGACAAGGGTTTTTTTAAATACAACACCAAAAACAGAAGTGACAAAAGAAAACATAGATGAATTGAACTTTATCAAAAGAAAATATTTTGTGCTAGGGGCGCCTGGGTGGCTCAGTCGGTTAAGCTCAGTTTATTATCTCACAAGTCTTGAGTTTGAGCCCCGCATCCGGCTCTGTGCTGATAGCTCAGAACCTGGACCCTGCATCAGATTCTGTGCCTACCCTCTCTCTCTGCCCCTCCCCTGCTCACTCTCTCTCTCTCTCTCAGAAATAAACAATTAACAAAGAAAATTAAAAAATATGTATTTTATGATAAAAACAATATCACCAACAAAATGAAAATACAACCTGCAGAATGGGAGAAAATCTTTGCACATCATATATCTAATAAGGGACTTACATCCAGGATATGTTAAGAACTCTTACAACTCAATAATAAAGAAATAAATTAAAAATAGGCAAGAGAGACTCATCTGAGTGGCTCAGTTGGTTAAGCTCCCAACTTTAGCTCAGGTCATGATCTCATGGTTCATGGGTTCAAGCTCTGCTTGGGGGTCTGCACTGGTGTGTGGAGCCTGCTTAGGATTCTCTCTCTCTCCTCTCTCTCTCTCTCTCTCGACTCTCTCTCTGTCTCTTTCTCTCTGTCTCTCTCTCCCTCTCTCTCTCAAAATAAATAAACTTAAAAAAAATAAAAATAGGCAAAAGATTTGGATAGGTATTTCTCTAAAGAAGGTATACAAATGGCCAGTAAGTACCTCAAAAGATGCTCAACATCCGTCAGGAATCAATAAACATCCATATGGACAAACCATAATGAGATACAACCTCACATTCATCAGGCTATAATCCAAAAGATAGATAATAACAAGTGTTGACAAGGATGTGGAAAAATTGAACCCCTCA